CTAAGAAATGGGGCTGTTCTGCATTTTGTTATTTTCACAGCCCAGTTCTATTACCAGCTGCTTTTGAGTGCGTTAAGGGTGCATATAAATGGACTTGCCTCTCCACTGAAATTAGCAGATTGATGGATGAATCATGAGTATGCGTGTACATAATTCACATTTAAATAAGTGCGTAAGCTTTGGCGGTTTTCCCTGTTTGCCTGCCTAAATCATCTTGCAAATGCCTCTCAGACGACCTTTCAAGGGTATGATAACGACGTAAGGGTCCAACACTTGTCTGGAAGGGATAAAGGGAGACAGGACAACGGATGGATCATCATTTCTTCCTGTGTATACTATGGAAGGCAAACTCCAGGTGCATAGATAGCTACAAACCTCACCTAAGGCGTTTTCCCTGCGCCCAGGCTCCTCCACACCTGGCTGGGGTAGAAGCCCAAACACTGCCCTCTGCTGGCAATGGGGAGAATGCTATTCCCAGAGCCGGGCTGGAAGCCCTGGCAGATGAAAATTTTCACCAATGTCCTGACCTCACCTCACTCAGGACCACAGTGAAAGCTACAATGCATGACCTTCTTGCGGGCCGTTTGCATCCTTGTTGAAGGGGCAATGCATCCACGTGATCCGGACTTCAAAGGCACAGACAGACTTTTGGAAGGATTACCCACCTCCACCCCTGCCACATGAAACCAGCTCCTCCCCGCCTCCCAACAGCATTGCCATATTCCTCTCATCCTTATCTTTCAGAATGCTTCTAAAACACCTCCACAAACCCAGCACAGATGGCTTATTTACCAAAATAAAGGCACCCAGACTTAACAAGTTTCACATTGGTTTTGTTAGGCACTCTTCACAGCAACACATGAAACGAAGTTAATTACTACCAAGAATATATAACAAACGAGGCAAAGTGATGCAGGGTTTCCCCAGAGAGCATACAGCGCCTTCTTAAGAAGCAAGGCTGGACACCTGATACCAGACAGCATCGTGTTCGTGACAATGATAGAGAGCAGTGAGACCCAACCTCATGGTGTCACTTGTAACTGTTTGATCCCATTTTCTGGCACAGAGCTGAGCCAGACACACTTCTTGAAGACATGGACCGGTGGCTTTCTCAGAGCATGGTGTGAACTGCTAGTTAAGAACCCAGGCTCGGCACAGACAGGCTTTCCGTGAGCCCTAGATCTGATTTCCTGTGGCCTGGGCAAATGGCTTCTCCCAACTGAGCCTCAGTTTCCCTGTCCGCAACCTGGAAACAATCAACCCAAGTGGGCTGCCTTTTGAATGCTGCCCCGCTGCGGGAAGCACTGTTACTCTGAAGCTGTTGTTTGCAGCTGGGGTGGGGCTGCTGTGGTGATGGCCCTGAGGAGGAACGGGGGGTGTCAGAAGGGAGAAAGAGCCCCCGGGAACAGGGTTGTGACTGTACCTAGGGCAAGGTCCATTTGGAGAAGATTTGATGCTGTGGTCATCCTGTGTGCAGGGTGCCTGAAGTACCAGTTATCCAGTAACGTTCAGGTCCAAGAAAAATGGGGATGCAGCAAGAACCAACATGCTTCCCATAGGCTTCCATGGAACCAGGTGATCGGCCCATGCCAATGCTGGAACAGGTGAAAATCCAGTCAGTTGGGGTCCTGTCCTTGTAAGGGTTTCTATTGCCATGGCGAAGCACCAGGACCCAAAGCAAGCTGGGGAGGAAAGGGTTTATTCCCTTCGCTGAAGGAAGTCAGGACAGGAACTCAAGCAGGGCAGGAACCTGGAAGCAGGAGCTGATGCAGAGGCCGTGGAGGGGTGCTGCTCACTGGTTTTGATCCTTTGCTGCTCAGTCCTGATCACTGAAAACGCCCACACGAGGATGGACACGGCACACAGAACAGGAAATGCTGTACAAGGAATTGGGTAAAGATGGCAGAGGGGGATGGCTGGTGCAGGCTGGCAGGTCATGTGATACTGACCCCAGCACCTCACCTAGCACCTGCCTCAGCACCTCGTGAAGACTTAGGCCAGTCTGGTGGCCTTAGGGAAGATTTCAATCAGTCCTCATCATGTCCACCAGTTTCCTCAGCAACACCCTTAAGCCAGCCTATCCTAACAGCAGCTCTCCGTCTGCCTTGCATATGTCTCAGGATGTAAGTCCTAGATTCCTATCCCCTGTTTCCAAGTAGCCAGGGGCCCCCTGAATCCTACTGTGTTGAATTACTGTGGAGTTACCACGTCCCCCTGCACACAGTAGGTGCTCAATAACAAGGAGGAAGAGCCAGATAAAGGTTTCTGGGGAGAGTGCTTGAGTTAGTCCAAACACTTCAATTGCTCCTCAAAGAGCTGGGTGAGGCTCAAGGGAGCAGGTGGATACCAGACAGCCCTGCCTGATACGGACTTCGTAGCTAAGTCAGAGGTTCTGGCGGCAGCAGAGTTCAGCCTGGCTTCATTCCATTATCCCTTAGCGATCTGCATGTTGTAGCCAAGGCTTCAAGGGTGCGAGCAGCTTTTTAAGTCCCCCACAGTTATTTGTTCTACATAAAAAGAAGGAGCTGTGTGCTTGGATAACGATAAACAGACTTTTATTGTGAACAGTCACAGCCAGGCTCTTATTTTTCAATAACATGGTTTAAGAACAAAACATTTCACATGCAAGCAAAATCTGTAAGCCAAAGGTACATTCATTTTCATTTGCAGCACAGTTTTAAATGAGTTCATTTTATAGCTAAGTAAAAGTTAAAAATCTACAGTGTAATGCTGAGGCTTTTTGTCTGCAGCAACAGCCAGGACTCAGGGAGCTGTCTATATTTTGTCACACAGGATCACAGGACCCAAACCCGGGGCCACAGGCCACATCACAGCCCACACCTCTGCAGACCAATCCAGCCTCAGCCACGCACAAGTGCGAAGAACCCATTTCCCCCAGAGAACACCCTGCACCCACCTGTGACACCAATCCCACTACTGTGAGATGGGGTGACTGTACGGAAGGTGCTGATTACAAATGCACCCTGTTGTCACGAAGTCCACACTAGAGCAGGAATTGAGCACCAGAGTCTACACTACCACAGGGAACTTGTTGTCGTGGAGAGTGTGGAGTCTAAAGAACCAAGTTTCCCGTATGCTGGGAAGCTTTTGGTTAGGAGAGCCCTTCAGGCTGCTGTGAGGGGCCCAAGCCCGACAGACAGGCCAGGCCAGGACCCCTCTGCCTCTCTGAGGAGCTCAGCCTCCATCCCCTTGGTGTGTCTGCCCCCCGTGCATTATCCTGATGACATCTTCAAGTCTGGTGTCTCCTTCCTGAGACACGGCAGCCATTACTTAGGAGTGGCTCTCGGCCTGGCACCCCGTAGACGGCCCTGGGTTGGGTGTGGGGTGGCCTGTGGTTTGGGGGGGTGGTGCTCCCTCTGCCACAGGCGCTGCCTCCCCCGGGCCAGGGCCTCCAGGTACCACTGCTGCTCTTTCCATTGTTTTTTCCGCTGCTCCATCTTTTCCCTAATGGCTTCCAGCTTGCAGAATTCCTGATCCAGCTGCTGGAGCTCTGTTCGCAGCTGCTTGTTCTCAGCAATGACACCCTTGCAGAAGGCCTTGTGAGCCTGTTTGATCCTAGCCTCCAAGGCCTTGGTCTTCTTCTTCAGCTCCCTGGTGATGTCCTCTCCTGACTCCAGCAGGTTCAGCTCCTCCACTTGCTTCTGCAGGTCGGCCCTTTCCTTCAGGAACTGGAGGTGTGCCTCTCGGTCCATGAAAGGGATGTCGGCCACGATGCTGGCTTCTTCCAGCTCTAGGGCCTTTTTCTCCTCGTCCTGGCTCTGCTTTATCTTTGCTATGGGCTCCAGGGCCTTCAGTTTCCTCTTCAGACTGGCCTGCAGCCTCCTGCCCTGCGCCAGCTGCTTCTGGAAATCAGCCTGGCGGGAGGTTAAGTCAGAGACCAGCTCTTGCCTCCTGTCCTCGATCTCCTGACTCTGCTGGATGTAATCGTTCCACAGGAAGTCATACTTCTCCTGGGCTATCTGGTGTCTCTTCTTCAGGTACTCCAAGAAGGGTTTGTCTTCTACTTCCTCCAGGGCTCTCTCCTCCTGCAGCTCCCTGGTGTCCCTCAGCAGCACTGCCCTCCGGAACTTGGCAGCTTCCATCTCCATCTCCAGCCGGTTCATGGCCACCACGGTCTTCTTCCTCACCCTCTTCTCCAGCCGGGTCATTGACTCTGGCTTCAGATAGTTGTTGAGAATGGCCATGTGCGGGGCCTCCAGGAAGCAGGCGGGGGTTCCTTGGGGATCCTGGAAATCACTGTGGCTGCTCTCCTGTTGTCTGAGGCTGATGCTGGCTTCCGAGGAGCATAAGCTTATCGTGTCGAGGGACTTCCGGTCCAGGGGGTGCAGTCCAGACTGGAGCAGGTCCTCTCTCTGCGCCTCCTGTTCCTTGTTTACGATCTCCGGCCACCTCACCCTGAAGTCGCACATGGCCCTCTTCCTGGTCACAGGAAGCCTGTACTGCCTTTCATGAGGCGTCGAGGAATCAGTCTCATCCTGAGCAGGGAGTGCAGAGGGCCCCAAAGTCCTGGCCCCTTCTCTCTGGGGGAAGATGGTGGCACGTCTGCCCCGAGTGTCCCAGCTCGGGTAGCCTTGGCCTTGGGACTCCATAGTCCCTCCACCTCCTCGGGACAGGGCGTAGTCCTTCATAGACCCCAGCCACCCATTCTCTGGGTCACTCAGTCACCACCTTCTCGACATTGCTATTGCTCTGGCTCTGGCACAGCAGCCGACTGCCTTTGTCCAAGTCTTGGAACCAAATGGGTTCTCTGCACAATGGGGGCTCAGAACATGGAATGCTCTGGGAGTCTCTGGTCCTCAGGCTTGCTATGCCCTAGTAGGTGAGGAGAGAGGCCTTCACCTGCTGGAGGGAGGGCAGGGCCTCTGAGAGGGAGGGAAGGACCAGGTGGGAGAGGGCGTGGCCTGAGGGAGGGTGTGGCCTGTGGGAGGGGCCTAGGGTGGTGGGCGGGGTCTGTGGGGCGGGGCCTTATGCGGGAGGACGGGGCCTTTGGAGGGAGGGCAGGACCTCCCAGGATAGATGGGAGGGGCCTGAGGGAGGAAAGAGGCAGGACCTGCCAGAGGGCGCGCAGGGGCGGCCGAGGGGGTGAGGGCGAGGCCTAGATAGACCCTGGGCTTGGAGCCATCGGGTAGCGTACATCAAGGTTGGAAGAAAAGCTACAGCGGCTTGGCTCCTGCGGAGGGCAGCACATAATGGGAGGGCGCCCCATAATGGCACAACTGATCAATTGTGCCATTATGGGGCGCCGGGAAGACCCTTGGCAGTCATGACGTACACTGTGCAGGCTGGGCAGGTGCCAAGGGCCGGGGGGCTCCAGACTCCTGGCTTCGCTTTGCAGTGTGGTTTGGGTGCAGCCTGGCTCTGTTCCGCCGGCTTCGGACTCCGCCTGCTCTCTGGGTTCCCTGGAGTACGAGCGTCCTCCTGAAGCCATGGCTGGTGTGGAAGGGTGGAGCTTGCGCATCAAGCTACCTCGGTGTCCTAGGAAGGGAAAGCGGCCCAGAACTGTGCCCTGTACAGACGCCTCGGTACCGCGGTTACAGGGAAGGTAAAGTGGAGAAGGCCCGGAGTGTGCAATGAAGGCTCCAGGAAGGGACCTGGAGAAAGACCTCCCAGGGGCAGAGGAGCTGCGCAGAGCAGAGGCCCCCAGGACGGCCACTGCACTGGTCGGCTCTCCCTGCCGTGAGGGACAGCTGAGGCACTTCCCCGGGGAAGAAATCACTTGGCTGGTGGCACAAGTTTCCCGCCTCCTGGCAAGGAGGCCCAAGGGAGCTGCAGGGAGCAGGGAGAGGTGTCACTCTGTCTTGGAGGAGCTTCTGGGATAGGCCATGTGTGGTTGATGCCCTCCTCTGTGTGCTACCACTGACCTCAAATCCTGCTCCCGGGCTTTTGGGTCTCAGCACAGCTGCGTGGCTGCTCTGTGTGCAGACACAGACTGGGTGCCTGGGAAAGGCTAGTGAACAGGAGGAGGAGACTGAAGGACGAGGAGGAGGTCACTAAAGCACCTTTAATCCCAGCACTGGGAGGTGGGGGCAGAGGCCGGCAGATCCCTGTGAGTTTGTGGCCAGCCTGGTCTATAGAGCTAGTTTCAGGGCTACACAGTAAGATCTGATCCTGGAAGGAAGGAAGGAAGGGAGGGAGGGAGGGAGGGAGGGAGGGAGGAAGGAAGGAAGGAAGGAAGGAACCTGGGATGCTGTCTTTCAGTGATGGATGTAAGCACAGGCTTCTGTGACATCTGACCCTCACTCTGCGTCATTAACCATCACTCCATCCTCTGTGTCAGTGGCAAGGCTTAGCCCTGCACTCAGATCTTTGCATCCCCCCTTAATAAGGGTCATGGTAGCAGGCTTGAGCACAGTTCCTGCATAAGGCACCCCACCTCACTGTTGCCGCACACAGCGGAGAACTCTGCGGATGGAGGGATCATAAGCAGCAGTTTGGTTTTCCCGCATGAACAGGCAGGCTGTGCTCAGCAGGGCCTGGAGAACAACACCAGCTTCCGATGACCTCACCACCTTTGCTCAGCATCTTCTGCATCAACGAGGGACAGACCCATGTCACATGCCCAGCATGTAGCCCCATGCCCAGCACAGCCCTGCACCACAGAACAGTGTTGTTCATGGGACAGGGAAGCCGGCCTGTCACTGTGCATGATTTGGCTTCACAGTGAGACTCAGACAGGGAGAGCCATTTTGCAAAGATCTCTTCCAGAACCCAGGCATCTACAGGTCTGCCTGTCCTGTTGATGGGAGGGGGCAGTGTGTCCTGGTCCCATTTGCCATCTGGACCGCTTCATCCCTGCTTCCTAGCCAGGGCCTGACACATTGCATGTCTGAAGGAATCCTGTGTCCCTGAAAAAATTGACGGAAGTCTTCCTTTTCGCTCACACTTGGCCTTTCATGGCTTTCTGTCTGCCTGAACCTGAGCCACTGGGATATTATGACTTGGTTGGAGTAAGATGCCACCAGTCTAGTGGCACACCTGCACACAGTGTCCTCTGTTGCTCCTGGGAAGGACCCTATCCGCAGAGCAGGGCTGGACACTCTGGCCGAGGAAATACTCTTGGTTGCCCTGCCAGGGCCCTTTCTGCAGCTTTCCTGTGTTTCTGCCGAGCCATTGCCTTTTGCCCCCAGCCTTTCCTCTGGCTTCTTTCAGAATCTGGTTGATGTGCTGAGTTTTCCTCCATCCTTGTTGTTGTTTCTGCTCTCTTGGGGGGCCCACCCCCCAGCTCCCAAATAAATCACTCACGGAGGCTTATTCTTAATTATGAATGCCTGGCCTTAGCTTGGCTTGTTTCTTACCAGCTTTCCTTAATTTATCCCATCTACCTTTTGCCTCTGGGCTTTTCCCTTTCGCTTACTTCTGTAAATCTTACTCTGTGGCTTGCTGTGTAGCTGGGTGGCTGATCCCTACTTCTTTCTTCTCTCTCCTCCTAGATTTCTCCCTCTATATATTCTCTCAGCCTGCCAGCCCCGCCTATCCTTTCTCCTGCCTTGCTATTGGCTGTTCAGTTCTTTATTAGACCATCAGGTGTTTTACACAGGCACAGTAACACAGCTTCACAGAGTTAAACAAATGCAACATAAACAAAAGTGACACACCTTCAAATACTATTCTACAACACATGCTACCGACTCTTCTCATCCATGCTGGTTACTGACGTCCCCTTCAGAGTGGACTGACTCACCTGTTCCTTAGCATCCTCTGTGCGGTCACTGACCATTGTGGTTGTTTTGTTTTTTTGGTTTAACCAGAAATCTTAATCTGCGCCAGGCATTTTTCCCAGTTAAGTGTCTGTGCTCAGCAGAGGAGATGCTTGCTCTTTTGGGGAGTCGCAGTGCCTGGCTTGGTCACCGTGCTTCTCTGCGTTTGTTGGCTGGCAGAGCACTTAGAGTTTTAGGGGACCGTCCTCTGAGGGGTCTGTCCTGAAGCGCAGGGAGGAGAAACAGACAGCAGCCTTTTGCACACGACACACGTGCATTAAGGAGGACGCACAGGCTTCAACAGGCCCACAACACTAACAGCAGAACAGCTGTAGACTGCTGTGGTGTTGGCACGGCCTCAGCACCCGTGGTCCTGCGCGTGAATCATAGTGAAAATCTTCACGACATTAGATAAGCATAAGAAGGAAGAGTGAAATAAAGTGTGCAAATGTTCCTGTGGGCGTGTGCATGCCTGTGCAGGCCGAAAGTCAGTGTTGGGTGTCTTCCTCAGTTGCTCTCCACCATGTATTTGAGGCAGGGTCTCTCACTGATCGGAAGCCCGGTTCCCCGTCTACCCCTCCCTAGTGCTAGGAGTTCTGCCATGCTCCACCATGGCTGCCTTCTCTTTGAGTGCTGAGTGTTAAACTCAGGTGCTGCTTGCACAGCCAGCCGCCCAGGCATGGTGATCTGAAAGGAAAGCCAGGAAGCCTCTAGTGCCTCTTGTGTCTCCTCAGAATGCAGAAAGAGGGAGACCGCCACCGTGTGTGCAGACGGGAAGGCTGAGGAAACAAAAGGGGCGCTCAGAAAAAAAATGAACAAAAACTGTCGCATAAACCCTAATGGTCTTAATAAAAATCCGGAGCCAGATATTGGGGTACATACTGAACCATCAGAGGAAACAAGCCACAGCCACTTCTCACCTCGCCAGTTCCACGAATCCTCTGACTGAATGTCCCTGAGTCCCCACTGGAAAGCTCTCTAGTTCCTCTCCTCATCTGCCTTTCTCTGCCCAGCCATTTCACTTCCTGTCTCAACCTTCCTAGTGCTGGGATTAATGGCATGTAAGCTTCCCAAATACTGGGGTTAAAGGTGTGTGCCACCACCGCCCAGCTGTTTCTGTCCTAGACTGGATCAAGCTCATGTAGCCCAGTGTGGCCTTGAACTCACAGAGATCCAGATGGATCTCTGCCTCCAGAGTGCTAGGATTAAAGGTGTGTGCCACCACTGCCTGGCCTCTGTTTATTCTAGTGGCTGGCTCTGTCTTCCGATCTTCAGGCAAATTTTATTAGAGTACAACAAAATATCACCACAAAAAAACAAAACCAGCCGGGCGGTGGTGGCGCACGCCTTTAATCCCAGCACTCGGGAGGCAGAGGCAGGCGGATCTCTGTGAGTTCGAGGCCAGCCTGGACT